TCTATTGCTCTTGTTTTTCTGTCTTTTTCTTATTTTGTCTCTGCTTGTACTTTTTTTACTTTGGATTTTGTGAAACACAAAGAAAAACATCTAAAACGTGAGCGAATTTGGAAGTTATTGAGTTGTTTTTATTTTCCGCGCTCACGCTGACGTAAGTAACCGGAAGTGAAATTTCACCTCCTTAGCAACGCGCGCGAGCGCGCGCATAAATCGGTTAATGGGTCCTTAAAGACGGCAAAATGTAAATGCAAGTCTCCTGTACATTGTTTATTGTAGTATTTCCATAAGTATTAATCAGAATTATAGTTAACTAAACCCAGGAGCTGGTCTAAGTCGAAATGTTCATGACAATGAACCAATGTTTCAAGCATTATATTTCAATGCTAGGGGAGTTTTTTTTTCTTCTTCCTTTCTTAAAAAAAAAGCGGAACAAATTAATTTGACCGAAAATGTGCGTCGATCTGATCCTCTCAGTACCGACTCGCCGCACGGCCAGCTGCTTCTAAATGTAATAATTAAAAGTGAGCCAAATTCTTCATTTTGAAGGTGAATTCGATTCAGGTATCTTTCAATGCCTGCCATAATTGATTCATTTCTCACACATGCTAAAAAAGACTCTAAAATAACTGTTTCAAAGTTACTCAAAGGTAGAACGAAGCAAACAGTCCTGTTTGTAGAAAATTAAGCACATGACGTATACGAGAAAACAAGCACAAAAAAGTTAATATTATATTTCGCGAATTACGAATATGACAGATCCATTTCGAAATATTTCCTCGAAAATATATTTTGAAAATTACGTTACTATTGCCAATATGAGCAGATCAGAGCTAATAATGTTCTATTTCATTCCATAAAGCGCATCTGAATCAAAATTTCAATTTAATAGTAACTTTCATGCGGAGTGCCAGATGAACGACGCTAATTTCCATTTTGGCATATTTGTTCAATGCATAATTTATCTTATTTTTCAAAGGTAGTATTCGTTTCCTCGACTGAAAGGGAGGTTAGATCACTTACCAAAGGCATATCAGATTCTAACGCCCTCACTATTAATATTTCTTACCGTTTTCTTATAGAGCTGTCTTGTTTTAATTTTACAAAAGATAAATGTTGCCCATCTTGTCAATTGTAAGGCATGTTACAGACAACGCTGTATTCATAAGTTCGGCAGCTTCGTTTGCGTTTATCGGTTTAAAATCTAGCTAATCTTTACAACATTTGATGTTATTTTGTCGCTTATTTAGTGAAATTGAATTCAGTTGAACACCTTCTTTCAACCAAATCATTCGAAAATTTTCATTTTCGTGAGGAAATGTCAACGTAACCACTGAATAAGAATTTCCTGTCATTGTTTTATTTCGCTGACAAATATCTTTGAATTATTCCACCCATTTTTCCTCTAGAAAGTCAATGGTGTATTTGAAATTGGCACCTTACTATTTCTTGACTGTCCGTTAATGGTAATAAGAAAGATTTTTGGCTGTTGCTAGAGGCAAGAACTTAATGGTCGATATGGAGAAGAACACAGATGTCAACAATAACATTTGTATCCAGATGTGGTCATCACAGTTGAATTCAGCGACGAGCACTGATCTGAGCTTAAGTCATACCTTCCACTCCGGAGAATTGCGCCAAACAGGAAAAAAACCAAATGAATAACATCGCCCACAACTCACACAAGGAACCGAAACTACGGCTCAGGTTGACAGTTGAAAGGAAGATTGGTAGCTTGGCTTGAAATGAAACATAGTCTGTTCTGTAAACAGAGTTACTTTGCCATGCGCGCGTGATAAACTGTACAAAGTGAAGTGGAATTAATGCTGATACGAGCACCGTGTAGTTTCATCCACATAGTTTTGTTTTCATTTCGGTTTGGTTTGTCGTTAGAGTTTGCTTGTTGAAGTTCTAACAATACTTCGCTACAGGGTGCGTCAGGTGGTCGGCAAGAGCAGGTGACGGCTCACAAGTTGTAAAACCGAAAAAAATAACAAAAGCTAACGCCTTAGTCAAATACATTTAATAACACGGCCATAGCAGTGAAAACTATCAAGTTTTATCCACCTTGATTTGCATTTCTTCAAAGGAGTAAAATCATTATTTTTCTTTTGGTATTATTCAAGTCAATTCAACGTGAAAGCCCTAAAAAATTCATGAATGCACAATAAAGTTAAGCGCATAATAATTATTGTCGCATACACCAAGAGGACAGGTTGTTACACTGTTTACTGGCTTCAGACTGTGTCTTAGGCAAACTAAACGCGACACACGGTCGAAATGTCATTTTACTTCAAACCTCTTCCAGCACTATTTTCATTGGAAATGAGAATATTAAACACTACATAATTACTATACAACTTCCATTAAGGCATATTTTTCTGGGTCCTAAATCATTAGAGATGTTTTTTGCACGGAAGCCTGATTTAATTGTATATAATGAATATATCTATCTCATCTTAGCAGCGTTGATTTTAAATATTGGGCAGATGTCATTGTCGCCTCTCGTTAGTCATTTCTTCCGGGCAGAACTGATCACCAGCTCAAGATATCGACACGAGTGCATGAATCTGGATGGAACTGTTCAGGCTGCCTCAGTACTCACACTCCAAGCCTAGATCACGATCAAAACCTTAAACAGTATGAATTTTGTTTTGATCCTGTAAACCTTAAAACGGTAAGAATTTTGTTTTGATTATGCAAAGTGATCTAACAATAAACTATGCAGATTTCAACATCAAATGTTTATGAATCAAATTTACTTGTTGTGTTTCTTGTAATTAAAAACCCATTCGAACGTCATTAAAAAGCACTAAAAGTAGCTGTTATTTTCTAACTTTTTGCTCAATGATTATTTCATGGCACACCACCCTTACCTTTCAAAATTAAATAGACGCTGGTAAACAAGTTTCTCTCCTAGCCACCGTGTATTCCAGTGTTTCCCTGTTGGTCAGTTTTCAGGTAACTGCCGACTCGGTGTTTCTTGCAAAAACGGGTGAATCAAATAGCTATGCACTGGCTAAAATATCACCTGAACTGTTTTCTTTGGAACTACCATTGCCAATGACTCGCCTTTGAGTTATTTTTTTGAAAAAGAAACTCTCTTAGTCAACGGGTCTGCCATGTTATGAATGGATGAGTGAGTGAGTGAGCACTGAGTGAGTGAGTGAGCGAGTGAGCACTGAGTGAGTGAGTGAGCGAGTGAGCACT